TTGAGGGGCAGGCTGGTGGTTTCAGTGAAGATGATATGTCAAGGTGTGAAGACTCTTTGGAGGAGGATCTCTCTGATAGTGAATTTTTAGAACTGTCTCAGAAGAGAAGCGTGCCAGAATCTTTTTTAGTTAAAGGAAAAAAAGTGAAAAAAAGTAATGGATGGGAATGAGTCTGAGGGTTCATTTATGGTTTCACAGAGTGATCTCCCACACCAACCAGAAATGTCTTTACAAACCAGTTAACATCAAGCAGTTTCTTTAGCAGACTAAGGGTTTCAGAGTTTGAACAGAAGATTTTTTCCTGACCAGAAACTGTTTATTGAGTCAGCCAGGCCTCTGATAAAAAGATCTGGCCAACCTGACAGAGACATACTGACTGACCAAGAAATCTTTCAGTTAAAGAAACTGATTCTAAAGTCTAAAAAAGAGGTTAATAAATGATGTTTAAATCATAAATTGTCCTCTCTTTTCAGTACTGTTATATTGTTGCTGTTTTCTTTTTTTCTCTCCCTCTCCATGTGTGATTTTAAAATTGGCACTTTAAACCTGAATGGAGCTAGAGATAATGTGAAGAGAGCTGCTTTTTTAAAATTGATGGAGCTGAAAAGAATTGATGTAATGTTAATTCAAGAAACTCACAGTGATCTGAGCAATGAGAGTGACTGGAAAATGAGGTGCAGCAGTAACATCATCCTGAGTCACAAATCCAGCTGTAGTGGCGGAGTGGGGATTGTGTTCTCCAGGAGCTTTTTACCTGCTTCCTGTGAAGTTCAAGAAAAAATAAAAGGTGTTCTATTGAAAGTCAGAGTGCAGCATGAAAAGGTAAACATGGTTTTTATCAATGTTTATGCACCTCCTAACGGAGTCGAGCGAATGTGCATACTCAGTGTCTTGTGCAACACTATCAGAGAATGTAAATATGATGAGTATTTGTTTTTAGGAGGTGATTTTAACTGCACGGAAAATCCTGTTTTAGACAGAAACCACCTTGAACCTCATCCAGCGTCATCACGCCAGTTCAGGAAAATGAGACAAGAACATGAACTGTCAGATGTGTGGAGGAACTTTCATGGTGATGTTAGTCAATACACCTGAAGTCACTCTCATAGTAATCAGATATCTTTGGCAAGGCTGGACCGCCTGTACTGTTTTAGACATCACATGAACATTTTTAAAAGCTGCCATATTAATCCAGTGGGTTTTTCTGATCATTGTGTTGTTTCCTGCACTGTTTTTATGAAAAACCTTCATCCGGGAAGTGCATATTGGCATTTTAATTCTGCACTACTTCAAAACAAAAATTTTAGAGCAGCTCTTGAAATGTTTTGGCTATCCCATAGGGAATATGAAGGATTTTTTAACAGTATTCAACTGGTGGGACTTTGGTAAAACCCAAATTAAACAGCTATGTCAACAGGCAATCGAAATGCCACTAGAGAGTTAACAAGATCAATGAAAGATCTGGAGATTCAAGTGGTAGAACCGCAGAATTTCCACAGAGTCCACAGGAAATCGAGGATATTTAGACTCCCTCAAATCCAAAAGGTCAGCTCTGGCCAACCTGCTGGGCATTACAGCAAAGGGAGCTTTGGTCAGGTCAAGCCTAGAGAGGAAGAATGGTCAAGGAAAAATCATCCACTCTCTACGATCCAGCAGTGGCTCAGAAATCTCAGACTCCTCTGAGATTAGACGACTAGCAGTGGAGTTTTATGAAGACCTGTACAAGAGCGAGTTGAAAGACTTCCCAGAGGTACAGAGCAGTGGTCTTCAGTGGCCTTCTCATGTGAATGCTGAAGTCAATAGAAAACTAGAGACGTATGCAGAGTGGAAGAGCTCCTGGGATTGATGGTCTCTCTGTGGATTTTGCTGCAGAAGGGCTGTCATTACCCTGCTGCCCAAGAAGGAAGATCTATGAGAGCTGAAGAACTGGAGGCCAGTGTCCTTATTATGCACGGACTACAAGATCTTATCCAAGGTCCTGGCATCCAGACTGAGTCAGGTGATGGGCTCTGTGGTCCACCAAGACCAGATTTACTGTGTGCCCGGCAGGCTCATAAGTGACGTCACTTTAATTCGAGTCATTTTGGAGGTCTCTGGCTCATTGGCTGTTGACATTGGTCTGATTTCAATAGACCAAGAAAAGGCTTTTGACCGGGTTGAACACCAGCATCTATGGGACACTTTAGATGCTTTTGGGTTCAGTCCTGGGTTCATAGCCATGATCAATGTTCTTTATAGTGACATTGCGAGTATTCTGAAAATAAATGGAGGTTTGAGTGCTCCTTTTAACATTCAGAGGGGTTCAGACAGGGTTGTGCTCTATCTAGCATGCTCTATTCTCTGTCAATTGAACTACTACTCCATAAATTAAGAAAATATATAAATGCTGTAAGTTTTCCACAGTGAGTTTCCTTTTAAACTGTCAGCCTATGCCGATGATGTCATTAATGTTTTAGTAAATTTTAGTAAAAAATATCAACCAGTTTGGGTTTATATCATCTGCCAAAGTAAACTGGGGAAAAAGTGAAGCTGTCCGGGTAAGTGAGAGACTGGGAGCGCAGGTCAGTTTACCTGGTGGTATAGAGTGGAAGTTAGGGGGCCTAAAATATCTTGTTTTTTTTTTAGGTAACCACACCTTTTTAGAGAAAAACTGGGAGGGGGTTTTAGAGAAAGTTGAAAGACGTTTAACGAAATGGAAATGGCTTTTACCAAAAATGTCCTACAGAAGGTGTGTATTGGTGGTAAACAACTTGGTCTCATCTGCTCTGTGACATAGGCTGGCTTGCATCAATCCTCCAGTCTCTCTTCTAGCCCAGATTCAAAGGGTTCTTATCAACTTTTTCTGAGAAGGATTACATTGGATTTCCTAAATGTTTTATTTCTGCCAAAGGAGGAAGGTGGACAAGGTCTGGTGCATCTGGCCAGCAGGGGTGCTACCTTTCAGACCTGGTGTGGAGACCACTGTCCTGCTGCATCCTGCAGAAGCTTGGTGGGCTGGAACTCGGCACAAACTTTTTTGTGTTAGAACTCAAGAAACCAACTTCTGGGTCTTTGCCGGATTTGTGTTTTAACTGTGTGGTTTTTATTTAAGAAGAAGAGACTGATGACTGACTCTATGTACTGGCTCCTGGAGGAGCCGGTCCTGAGTGGAAGCTTACTGGATCTTCCCACCTGGTGTGGACCCACTCTCGATGGAAAGCTGCGTGCTGCAGGCGTATCCACTCTGGGTCGTGTGGTGGAGCTGGCTGGGCCCCAGCTGGACAACCCTGAGCGTCTGGCTGCTGAGCTCGGGGTCAGGTCAGTGCGGGTAGGACATCAGCTACTGTCTCACTGGAAACAAAAACTGTCGAAAGACCAACAGACTCTGCTGATGGACCTTAACCTGCTGTGGTGTTTTATACAGATTTTAAAAACCTTGTGAGTGTTTCCCTGGAGGCCTCCGGAAAAGTATTATACAAGCTACTAGTTCACGCTCAGAACCAAAAAAGTCTATCTAAGAGAATGGATACTCCATGAAGAACTCATTTTGGACAAAATACTGATTTTAAACCAGAGTGGAGGTCTCCGTACATAATACACAAATGCAGACACAGGCACGTACACAGTGAGTGAACGCTGCGCCATAATGAAGCCTTTTAAGGCCTGTTTTCCACTTTTTAATCATCCACATCTGTTTACAGCCTATCCTCAGGCTCAGGAAACAAGTGCTCACAAAGATAAGTCAGACTCAAAAAAGATGGCGCTAGTGTCTTCTGGTTGCTCTGCAGCACTAATCCATTTTTACCACTTTCGGTTTACCATTCTTACTTTTTCTTTACTCCTTTCACATAGTACTACTATTAAA